CCAAAAATAAAGCTGCGGGAAAACGTTCCCAACCAAAACTCAAAAAGAACTCCTTAACTAACTGCAAAGTGAACAACAACAGACTCCAGGCTGCAGAAAGGCACTCCGGACCGCGGGACAGCATGAAAAATACTCTGGCAGAGAAGTGAGGTGAGGGCCAGGCTCTTAAAGAGCAGGTAATCAAGTGAGTGGGGACAGGTGTGCCTCATCTGCAGCCAGGAGTAACCAGCCACGCCCCCCTGTCACACACCAGCCCTGCAGAGACAGAAAGACAGAGTAGTGAGGGGTAAAAGGAGCACACAACAAGTAAAACACAAAAACAACAAAAGCCCCATGCAAAACATAACAGCAACAACGTCAAATGTCATCAGGCAATTGAAAACTCACCCGGAGAGGTCAGTCACATTAACGCATATGGACGGTTAGCAAACATGTTTAGCTCAGCATTAGCTATGTAATGTTAACTTAGCTTGCTACTAGCTTTGTAACTGAATATTTGAAAAGATGAGTGAATGTTTGCTTGTCACACTTGTTTGCGTTGAGTGGCGGTGACATCCAACTCTTGACATGACATAAAAAAGGTCGGTAACGTTAATCATTACGTTCCGCTTCCACCATCTACTGGCTAACGTTAAACGTAGAAAAATACATAGTTACATACATAAATACATCTGTCGGTTTATAGGCAGGTTACAGGTTTATTGTTGACCACGTAACGTTAATGTTACAGGTTTATCAGGTTACCATTACACTGGGTTTGAGTGAGAGGATATAGGAATATGTTTATTAAAAGATGTTAGAGACCCAGTGTAATTAAACAATACGGTTGCAGAGGTCAAATTTTAACATTTTTGTCCACTGGCCAAATGGCTAGCCTAGTAAATGTTGAAATGTTACCAGCCACTCAATAGATTGCCATTGTTATTTTTGGCTGGTGCGTGCAACATACAGTACCAGCCACTTGCATGATTTACCAGCATTTGGCTGGTAAATGGTGTTAATGGTAGATATCTCTTTTGGAACAGGTCCATGTTTTAATATCACCAGTTCAGTATATTTCAGATACAGTAAATGCTTTGAATTTCTTAGATATAGCTGTGCAGTATTCTTAACAGACTGGATAGCAGCAGACAATAGAAGGCTTATTACAACCAGAAGAGACATGAGACTTTTATTTTTTAGAGACTTGAGACTTGACTTGGACTCGTGACCAAAGACTTGAGACTTGATCAAGTCTCACCCCACAAAGACTTGAGACTTGACTTGGACTCGTGACCAAAGACTTGAGACTTGACTTGGACTTGCAAAAAAAGACTTGTGAACATCTCTGCAAACAGGTATGAAATACTATATGACAGTAAAACAAGAATACACTTTAAAAGGGGAGTGATTTGTAAAATATCCATAAAGAAATAGAAAATCGGTTTACAGTTCTGTTTCATATGTGTTGAGAGATGTATCAATAGATCTCTTCATGTTGCTCTCAAAGTGCACCAGATTGATGCATTTAATTTCAATATTTAAAAAATCCCCCGGACCCCCCTAGAGGATGTGAGGTCCACTCCCCACTTGTAAAAAAATAGTACTTTACCCTGCTTACACGTATATGCCGTGAGCTGATTATCGAGCATTCATTGTAACAGTCGCGGGTACACTGTGTATGTGTGTGTGGGTTCAAATTCAACTGTAGCGCCCGGGACATTAATGGGAAACCCTAAATGTTTGAGCACCCTCTATGAAATGTCAAGCTACCCCACAGCACCCCCAAAAGAAAATCTCTGGCGCCGTCACTGCTTCTTGGGTCCGAATGTTTCTGGTTTTGCGCCGTCCCGTTCAAATGAAATCGCCGCCAATCATATTTCCACGCTCGCGCCAGGGGAGGGGTTACACGGCTCGCGTCTTGTGCTGCATTCACTTGCACTCGGACATTAGAGACTTTCTCTCATAAATGTCCGCCACAACTTTTCTTTCAAAACAAAGCTGCCAACTGGGGTGGCAGCTGGGGTGGCAAGACCTATTATTAGGGTGGCAGTTGCCACCCCGATAGATCCGCCCCTGGCTGGCAATGACAATTGAATACAAATAGAATAGAATATAATTCCTTTATTGACATCGCACCAGGTACAACGAAATTTAAAAAAGCAATCCTTGCAGTGCATTTCCACATCTATATAAACTAGGGCCGGGACTCGATTAAAAAAATTAATCTAATTAATTAGAGGCTTTGTAATTAATTAATCGAAATTAATCGCATTTTTAATCGCATATAAATATTTGACCTAAGAACAGTGAGAAGCAATTTTTTTCACATGTATTTTAGTATACCATTAGGCGCATTCACACCGCAGTACTTTTCCCACAAAGGTTCATGAGAACTTAGTTCATGAGAACAAATGAAGCCGCTGACGTCACTTCTTCTTCTTCTGCTTTGGGTTTACTGGCAGGCCGCAAACCACTTCACGGCGTATACTGCCGCCCAAAGTCCCCGGCCGGAAGTCCCCGGAGTTGGGGACTGGCTTCAGTAGAAGCTGCTGGGAGTCCCAGCAGCCTTCCGAGTAAATCGCCAGAACGCCGACACCTCCTCATCTCCACCGCTCCCATGTTTTATTTTGTGTTGCCATAAGTTAGTCTCTCTGCGTTTCTGCGCTGGGCTAATGCTAATAATGCTAATGCGAGGATAATGAAATGGCGGCTTCACAAAACTTTTTGGGAGTTTTACGGGGCGTGGTTTGCAATCCGCCCAGCCAATCAGAAATATAGCTCTTTTCTCACAAGAGAGCCGTACGAAAGTCCCTGCTCTCTAGCAGCTCTCTGCTCTCTAGCAGGGACTTTCGTGGGGGTAAAAAGGTTCTCATGAACTAATTTTAGTACCGACTCTTTTTGGTGTGAACGCTATAAACATATAAACATATGCTCACACATCCATAACAACATGCATACATGCCCGCACATAATTTAAATACAGTTTACAATAAAAACACAGGGATGATATTTGACTTCTCTGATGTCGATCAGTTAATAAATTAATAAAACTATTAAAAAGTAGTGCAGTTGCAAATTGTTACTGTGTGTGTGCTAGTTCAGCGTTTGTTCTCGTATGACTGGGATAGAAACTGTTTTTCAGTCGGTTTGTCCTTGATTGAATTGACCTGTAGCGTCTACCGGAGGGCAGAAGAGCAAACAGGAAGTGTCCAGGGTGTGGAGAGTCTGCAATTATTTTGCCTGCTCTGTTGAGGCAACGTTGGCTGAAGAGTTCCTCCAGAGTAGGCAGTGAGCAGCCGATGACCTTCTGGGCTGTGTTGATGACCCTCCGAATGGCTTTCCTGTCCTTTTCTGAGCAGTACGTGGTTAGGCAATACGCCAGCACATTCTCTATGGAGCAGCGGTAGAAAGACACGTTGCATCATCTGCAAAAAAGCTGATTACATACAATCCTGCAGTAAACAAATTTAAAATGGAAACTTTTACCATCTCGCATTTCAAGGTGCTTTAGTATTTGGTTTCGCTGCTGCAAAGCCTAGCAACACATTTAGCAACTCATTCAGGCTACTAGTGGAAAAGCAAGAAGCATTAGGATTTATTCAATTATGGCAAATCACATTGTAATATCTATATCAATAAATACAAAAAACACATGGTAATTGGCTAATGGTTACACGACATTATGACATCATAAAGTGTCCAAAATCTGATCAGCTCATTTTCAGACAGGTTTTTATAGAAATGGATCAGGACAAAAAGAGAGGGGTCTTTTTTCCTGAAACTTTCAGAATCTCTTTACACAGCGGGGACACATGGTTATGTATAAAAGACATGAACAAGTCGATTTTGCATAATAGGTGACCTTTAAGATATTGGTGTTTTCACCTCTGTCTATGTACTGCTGCCATCTGGAATCTTTTATAGAATTCAACATCCTCTGGAGCGCTCCTACATTTTAAGAAAATTGATAACATTTGATAAATAACTGTTATCTGTAAAATATATTAAAAAGTTGTATAAGGCCCTGATAGGCATTGTGCTTCCGGCTGTGATAAAGTTTCCCTTCAGCTACAGATAATTAGTTTATCTGCAGCCCTCTCTTTCTTCTCTGTTGATCTCTATTAGTCTCTGACTTTTCTTTACAAGGCCATCATTTACTCTTTAATGGACTTAATCACTTGTCCTCTATCTCTCCACCCACAATCCTCTGATGCTGGCCGACATTTCTAACTGAGGGAAACTCGTCCTGGAGGGTGTCGTCAAGACGACTGCATCTCTAAGAGTGTCTGTGGTGACACCGTGGCAACCAGGGACTCCAGTTTATTCGGGGTTCATTACTGTTGGAGGTGACTGTAATGTCAAGCAGCTGCAGAGGAGCTCCAGGCGACAAACATCTCAACTACAGACAGAGTGTGTTCACAAAAGTTTAAACCTGAGCTGACTGACAGTTTGCTGACTTTCAGTTTATCTACACTGACTCAACATCCATAAGATCACTCAGTCCTATTTTTATAAATTCCTTTGTCACACGCCTGCATCTGTCCGATAGAGAGGGGCGGATTAGACCAGAAAATAGAAAAATTAAAATCCCTCAATTGAATTTCATCTCCCCTTTCAAAACACCTGATTATGTAAAGGGTATTTGCGAGTGTGTAAACAGCCAAACTGTCAGAGTGAGGTGGGGGAAGCTGTTAGGGATTGTAATTTTTGAAAATAAAATGTTTGATGTTTTTTTACCCTAGAGACACAAATATCACATGTCAGAGAGATGTGGCACTGACGTTTGTTTCATTCAGCCACTGTTTTGTGATTCTTAAGCCTGTGGGAGGTGTGTGTGTGTGTGTGTGTGTGTGTGTGTGTGTGTGTGTGTGTGTGTGTGTGTGTGTGTGTGTGTGTGTGTGTGTGTGTGTGTGTGTGTGTGTGTGTGTGTGTGTGTGTGTGTGTGTGTGTGTGTGTGTGTGTGGGGCTTCTTTATAAAAAGGTCTGGAGGTCATACCTGAAGTCAGTTTAGTGTCTGATCATCAGAGGAGCTGCTGTCACCAACAGGGACAATTAATGTAAGTTTATAGAGGGATCTCCCCCTCACTTCACTTATATTCATTTCCGTGATTTATTCTATTACATTTTTTGGGTCACGTTCCGTTTTCTCTTCTATTCTAAGTTGCTTCGGTGAATGTGGTGTGTTTTGTTGAAATTGTGTTCATCAAACTGCTTTTGGATTATTTAAGGTTGTTTATGTTTAAAAGTATACATGTGATGCAATTTCAGTTTTATAAATCAATTTAACATATGTCGGATTTATCTTTATAAAAAAATGTATTCATGGGATAAACATAAAATCTAACAAAATGGAAATTTGGTAATCTGACATCTATACTTGTATTGCACCATGATGATCATTCTCTTATTATTATCATTGTAATCATAACATGTGCATTGTACAGTCATTGTCGCATCTATCATCATTGCATAATATAACTATCACAATGTGTGTAGTTATTTATTGCATTAAGAATATTATTTAATATAATATTCACAATATCAAAATAGTTCTTTTGAATATATATTTCTCTTATATTGTGTTTACTTTAAAGTTACTCCTAATTTGAATAGAGATTTTGCATTTTTGTCTTGTTGTTGGATACATCCTGAGCTTCAGGCACTTCATTTCTAGATCTATGAGTTAGACCTTACATACCTGATACATTTAAAGATGGATAGAGGCAAACACACACACAGTTAAACTGAGATTTCAGATCTTTTTTTATCTTTACACGTTATCTATTCTGCTTTTAACAATCTTCCTGACAGCAGTTGGTTGGTCCGTTTACACGTTGCTCATCCACTACTCTGACGAATGAGCTGTACCATTGTGGGTGTATTTAGATTGAAAGAAGGGTTGCTAATTATTTTTAAGCGCAAAGCCGTCAAGTGTTTTATGCAGGGGGAAAAACAACAACATATGATGTGTTTTGTTGCACAAGGTGTTTTAGGGTTTGACAATTTAGTTTTTTAAATCTCTGAAATCTTGTGAATTGATGCAGATTTCCAAAGGTTTTTCAAATATAACAGCAGAATTTGGAATATGTGTCTTTCTTGGACCAGGTCACTTTTTTCCTCTGAATCTGAATTTTGAGTGTTTGTCTTACCGTTTTTGTTTCAGAAGATGCAGATGTCCCACAGACCTGTGGAGTGGCTCGCTGTCATGCTTCTCGTTGTTTTTACAGCTGCTCTGTGTCAACAGAACGAGAGGTGAGACTCCTGTTCCCACCTAATTTATTATTGATATTTATACATGATGCAAAATCGTGCAATAAGTTTAGAAACTTTATTTAAGTGGTACAGTATGTCTTAGAGGAAGACTTTTAAAGATACAATATATATTATATCTATCCATAAAATCACAGCAAAACATCAGAATGTCTACAAAAAAGAAACCAAATTCTATAACAAAATCAGATATCGATTTTTCAGTGTTTTTCAGCAATAGATATCATGTTTAGGATGATCGCTTTGTATATGCGAGGGATGCATGTCTGGTGATGATTTTTAATATATCAGGATTTACTGTACATTTCAAGCACCTTTCATTCATAAAGATGTTTTTTCAAAAGTAAAAAAGCACTTTTTTATATTTAATATCATAATTTTACAGATAAAATCATAACCATTATATAATCATGCCTGTATAAAGCCATATGCTTTAAATAATGTGCACATTCACCCATTGAATGAAGACTACAACTAACACTTGTATATAGACATTTTATAATTCATCATTTGTTTTAAGTATCTATTTCTCCAACACAAACTTGTGTACTTTGTTGTGCTTGCTTTCACAGTAGATGTTATAGGTTTATTGTTGTACATGATCAATGCAAAAGGCTTAAAATGGCCAATAAAGCATTACACGTCATAGATATTCATACACTTAACTTGCCACTGTATGTATTTAGAATCTGACTCTGTACTTGGATGAAATATCTGACCAGTCTTTCTCCTCCCTCTCCCTGCAGCCGTCGAGCTGTGAGCGAGCACCAGCTGATGCACGACCGCGGCCGAAGCATCCAGAGTCTCAAGAGGCTCATCTGGCTGTCCAGCGCCATCGAGGGTCTCCACACTGCTCAGACCCGCTCTGCTTTCAACCCCACAAAGACCCTGAACCTGGCTCTGAATCCAGCGCTGGTGTCTGGGGCCGGGAGCCCACAGCCCCCCCGGGTTCAGAGCCTCCTGAGAGACTTCTTTAACCCTTACCTGACTCAACAGTCAGACAGGGAGGCCTAACATCACTTTGATGCTCAAACATGGAGCTACGGCACACATACATACAAAGTTTTCTGTGTCCATTCTTTGTCTTAAGATACTCATTCAACTGCAGATGTGCAGACATGTCGTGATGTATAATCGAGGGCTGGGCGATACAAACAAGTAATGTTTTCAAGCATGGGGGGATTCACAATAAAAAAAACTACAAAAAAAGTCAAGCAAAACTGATACAAAACTGAAATATTGTGCCCGCTATCTGCAACACAGAGCTTGAACCTGACTTGTTGGTCTGGACGAGTTGTTTTTAAACTGTTTTGACTCGCAAGCCCCTAGACTGGTGTCACAACCTGTCCCCCCCTCCATGCAAATGCATTGATTGCTCATAAACTGCATGTACAGCTGTAGTGTTGCTACATGGCAAGTGGTTACTATTACCCAAGAAAATATCTTTGGACCCACTTGGGGGTTCCAACCCCAAGGTTGAGAACCACGGGTTTAGAGGAGGTGTTTTTAAAGTCCGAGAATTCAGACCTACTGCAGACAAAGTCTAGAACCAGATACCTCATCCCCTTTAGGTTTCCTGGATTGATCTTGACTATATATTATTTGATCCCATTGACACTATTGCTGTTTGACATGAGTCATGACGTTACACTAAACCAAATACATTTAGAGAAGGTCTGTCTTGAGACATGTATCACTTTCTAACTGAGGAGAGGGGAAAATGTTTGCCCCAAACTATATTTGACCATTTAACTGCTGCATTCATTTGTATGTTGGACAGGACGGAGATAAAAAAGTGTTTAACTAAATCTAAAGTAACTAAAGCTGTCATAAAAAATGTAGTGGAGTAAAATGATAAAGTTGCATTAAATGTAAATATTCAACTGAAGTATGAATTTGTATTTAAGTACAGTAGTTTGACTCTCCTGAGAACTTCTTCTACCATAATACCGTTTTTTTCCTGTGGACACCAGAAAAAAGCCTAAACCATTAAACAATTCAAAGAGGACGTCCCTTGCTTTTGGTGCATTTTAAACTTCAAAATCCGTGCACAGTTTCATATTAGGAAAAATAATGTTAAATTGAATTTCTCCTTGAATAGCCTGGGAGACCAAACTCAGGGCAAATGAAGATTAGAACAACGCGAGATTTCCTTGATGGCTAACGTGAACTGACGTGAACTAGCTGTAACAACCACTGTGACACCGGTACTGGTGATCCACCTCCAGCTGCAAATCGTCCCTCCGGTGGTCTACGTCTGATAGAGAGAAACGTATAAACTAACCACCCACAGAGGGGTCCTGTCTGCTGGCTTGAAGCGCCCTCCTCGCCCCTCGGACTGTCCGCTGCTCTCGTCCTTTAATCGGCCAGGTCAGTCGGTGTTACATCCGTCAGTTAGCTGTCTCTGGGGTTAGCTCGTCAAGCTAAGTTCAACTAGCCGCACTCATCACCGCAGGTGTCAAGAGTACACTCTAAATTCATCAATATTTTTAAAAGGTGTTGATATTTTCATTAATGGTGGTGTGAATAAGTGATAATAAGCCAACATGAAGCAAATTATTTAAAAATATTAAAGTGACAACATTGTCTTCCGTAGCTACCAGCTAATGCTAATTTTCAACAGTAGCAATACTGGAGGAAGCAGCTAGCATGCTAGCATTAGCAAACCGCTGGTAGCAGGTTGTTTTGCTAACGTCAGTAGCTCATGTGTTGCTGACAGTCACAATAAATGGGTTAGTACAGACACGGTCCATCAAGTAGATCACACACTGTCTTTGGTTGTTACAGTTGGCAACAGTTATCTGAATAAACCCTGTCAATGTCTGCAGATAATGGGGTCTTATTTGGTATTCATGTATTCATAGTTGATATTCATGTCAGGTACTAAGTGCAGTCATGTGGTTAGTACTGTAGTACACTCTGATGTAAGCCCTGGTGCTAACAATAACACGTGTGTGTTCAGGGCAGTTTCTGATCATTTTGGTGGTGGAGAGTAACTAAGTATATTTATTTACTCAACTACTGTATTTAAGTTCAATTTAGAGGGACCTGTACTTTACTTGAGTATTTACATTTTGTACTACTTTTTCCTCCACTCCACTTGATTTCAGAGGCAAATATTTTCTTTATATCCTACTACATTTGTATTTAATTTGATAACTTAAGTTACTTGAGTGATTTACATTATTATTGCAAAACATGTTCACCACTAAATAATGATGTATCATTAGACATTATTGATCTGGATACATATATATGTCCTCTTTATATACAGTCTTTGGCATGAATACCTTAATAATTAACCTTTTGTTTAATAATATAATGTAAATGTTTCTGAAATGAGCCACTAGGCTTAATGTTTACTTTACTTATTGGTCTGTATATCTAGATGTCAAAGCATTTGCTCTACTTTTACTTTTGTATAATTTTATTTTTTCAATGTTTTACTTTTATGTTTACACTGGCATTAGTCATTTGAAATAGTCATGTACTTTATCCACCCCCGGTAACTAATCTCTCTCGCCTGATATTAGACTTATGTTTCACTTGTTATTATAATATATAAACCAGTGGCAATAACCCGGACCTGAAAGATATTACCTTTCACTCTGAGAAACTGTGATGGACATTCTTCAATTATTTTTTCACCTATTATCAGACTTGTCTTGGGACTGGATCGAATTATAATAATGGGTGCCGATCCTGACGTAATGAACTAATCAGATATCAACCTGACGTTCCATATATCGATCCAGCTGGCCTATTGTCGTGTGTTTAGCTCTATACAGTATTTAATGGTGCAATTATAAGCCTTCCTAAAATATTGTAGCACAAATAAATAATATGTATTACTTAAAAGCTTAGCTCTTTAAAGATGTCAAGAAGTACTTATATATGTTTGTCTCCCAGAATTATTTGAGATTGAGGTACAGTTTGTGCTGGGCCGTAAACCGCCAAAACGTAACATGAGTCAGTCTGCCGTCTGAGGAGCTAGTAACAGAGGGCTTACTCAATGTGTCCTTCCTTTGGAAATATTTTATTCTTGAAATACAGACAAGCAAGAGAGCAGCTTGTAATGTGTGTAAATCAACATCCTGAGCGGCTTCTTACAATAATGCTAATTTAATTTAGCATCTGCAAAAGCATCACTTGAAAGAACCCCAGGAGTTCATGCTAACCAAATACTAAGTATCTGTATCTGCACATATTAAAATGCAGGTATTGGTTTAGACCTGACAAAAAGTATAACAAATAATCATCAGATTAAACAATGATGAAACGCTCTTCAAATATATTTTCACGGGACAGTATCGTGACAGTGGTCTCTTGTTTGTACGTGTTGTGCAGCCTCATCCAGCCCCACTGTGGATCTTTAGCCCCTCCGGCAGGACAGTGGCAGAGGTGGAGCCAGAGCCATCGGGGACCAGAGCAGCAGGCAGCAGGGCTCCATGAGCGCCACGGGGCAGCAGCAGCAAGGGGGGGGCCTGCGTTCTCGCCGAGGCCTTGGCCGGGACAAGGACCCTGTGCCGGGCCTGGGCATGGAGGCGGCCTGCTGGCTGGCCCCCGGAGTGCTGCGCAGGCTGATCGAGCTGCCCTCACCCCCCCTGTCCCGACACCAGCTCAAGAGACTGGAGGAGCACAGGTGAGTCAGCTGACTGAGACGCTCAGGGAAAACCTTACAGCAGGGGTCAGCAACCTTTTTGATATGAAGTGCCATTTAAAAAAATAAAATAAAAATGTGATCAGTGTGCCAAATCCACATTAAGATCACTATGACTCGCGCATGCATGCACGTGCACGGTTGTGGCATGACCACCCAAACAGAAAGATATGGACACAAGATGTGTGAATTTTTTTTTTTTAGATTGATGTTAAAAGCATCAATCTGGTGCACTTTGAGAGCAACATTAAGAGATCTATGGATACATCTCTCATCACCCATATGAAACAGAACTTTAAACAGGTTTACTTTTTCCTTTATGGATATTTTACAAATCACTCCCCTTTCAAACTGTATTTTTGTTTATTATCTTGTTTATTAACAACTTTTTTTTACCGTCATATAGTATTTTATACCTGTTTTTCATTTATTGTCTTTGTATAACTATAATGATCATATAAAGGTGTGCCTTTACCTCACTCAGCTGAGGTTATCAGCCTCTCAGTCCGACAGGAGAGCTCTCTTCCACCTGGTTGTAGAAAAAGCTCTTTATATCCGTTAGCATAGCCAGCTAACCAGATGCAATAATCCCTGGTACCGCTCTCTCTCTCTCGCTCGCTCGCTCACACAAAATACGCTCGTGCCACACACACAGAGCCGAGCTTGAATGACACACAGAGACCCAGAAGTAGTTGTAAGCCTACTGTAATGTAGCATATTCTTTTCGATGGCGTTATTGTATGATCAGTATGACAGATAGGGGCGGACTGGGACTGAGACGTGTTGTGTTCAAGGAACCTGTCCTTGGCCAGGAAAAACAGGCAGTCGCTTGGTTAATTCTGTTGCGGTCTAGATTTCTTAAATGTTTTGTTTCCTTCTGCGCTGCGTTGCGTGCATGGCTTCCTTCTGCAGGTAACGGGGAGACGCGCTCTGGCGGCGGTCTCGTTCAGGATCCGAAAATACAATTTAAATATTTTAGGGTTGCCGACCCCTGCCTTACACTATAAGTTGGATCATTATGTATTCCTAAGGGAAATACTTGTTCCAGAGATTGCTAAAAAATGAAACAACATGGTAATAGAACTTAATAGAAAAACATACCATGGTTGCAAAATAATTAAATAAAATTCCAGTTTCACATACATTAACAAGTAGGATACATTTTGTCAAATAATTTAAAACTTAGTTACTGTTTGAGATTAATAATTCTCAACAAAAAAAAAATTATGTTTCCGATAATATCAGAAACTTATCTGATTACATAGGGTATGGATACCAGTATTTGATTAACATTACACATTCAAAATTGGCATTATACAGCTCTGGAAAACATTAAGAGACCACTGCAGAACGATCAGTTTCTCTGGTTTTACTATTTATAGGTATGTGTTTGAGTTTGTTTGATTCTATAAACTACTGAAAACATTTCTGTCAACAGACACTGGAATGGAATGGCTGCCATACATGTAGAGATTGAGATTTAAGAAACATTTGGAGTGTTTTTCCCCAGAGCTGTATGTATTAAGAACAGTTGTTTATTATAATAAACTATATAACAATTGCAGCTTTGAAAATTGTAATCTTTCCTATAGCATTTCAGTATTAAAACAAGTTCCATCCCTAATACAAGTTAGTTTTATTTGTATTCCACTGCTCTCATCACGACCCCTATATTGTGTCACCATCATTATTTCTGATAAATCTCCGGTGTAAATCCTCTCCTGGCTGCTGTTCCCCCCCCACAGGTACAGCAGTGCGGGGCGCTCCCTGCTGGAGCCGCTGATGCAGCGTTACTGGGAGTGGTTGGTGGGACGAGTCCCCGCCTGGATCGCCCCCAACCTCATCACCATCATCGGCCTGGCCACCAACGTCTTCACCACCCTGGTGCTCATCTACTACTGCCCCACGGCCACTGAACAGGTCGGGGTTCATCTTAAAACATTTCAAATGTTAAAATGACTAATTCACTCCAGTTGCTTCTCCATATTGGATTTGTATCTGTAATGATACTGTGAATAAAAAACAAAATATTATGCAAATCAGCATGAAAGGTAGCTGCAGGAAGGGTTTTAATGTAAAACATCTGCAGTAGGTTTTTGTGAGTTTTTACAGCTAAGGAGAATACATTAGAATAAAGCCATGAATAAAAACATGTTTTTGTGTTTAAAAGAAACTGAAGGAGCTGCAGAGTTGATGGAATATAAATTGGCATTAAGAGCAAATTAAAGCAAATGAAGAAAAACTATTGCTATTATGTTGTAATACGAGACTACATACTGTTTTGAGTTTCTTATACTGTGAGAGTAGTCTTTTCCTGGTTTTGAGGCTGCATTCCATTATATGTGAATGTGCTTTCTGAACTTACTGGACTGTCCTAGCTGTTATACTATTCGCCTTTACCCACTTAATCATTAAATCCACTTTACTCATGATTATTTATCAGAATTTCTCCATGTGTAAATAATTTGTGAAGGAACAACAATCAAACCATACATTATTGTCCTAATATCATCATTGAGGTATTTGATCAGAAATATTGTGATATTTTAGTTTCTCCATATGGCAGAGCCGCAAAGCACATCAGAAACAGGGAGGTTTTACTTAATTAATAACTTAATTCAATAGTTGAGTATCAATATCTTAAGGTAGGTATAGTTACTATCAAGTCATTATTTTGGTATTGTGACAACACTACAGTGTTAATGAATTGTTATTATACCGTCTGGGTCACCTGATCTGAGATCTCTTTTACCTGTTATGTGCTTTGAGTTTGATATGAATGTGTGTGTGTGTGTGTGTTTCAGGCTCCTCTCTGGGCGTACCTGCTGTGTGCGGTGGGTCTGTTCATCTACCAGTCGTTGGACGCCATTGATGGGAAGCAGGCGAGACGCACCAACAGCAGCTCTCCGCTGGGCGAGCTGTTCGACCACGGCTGTGACTCCCTCTCCACCGGTCAGTTCTCTCCGGCTGGACTCTGATCCACTTTGTCTTTATTCTGAGACTTGTTCTCTAAAGCTGACTGTGTTCATGTGTGTGTGCAGTGTTTGTGGTGTTGGGAACCAGTATAGCCGTGCAGATGGGCACCAACCCGGACTGGATGTTCTTCTGCTGTTTCGCCGGGATGTTCATGTTCTACTGCGCTCACTGGCAAACATACGTGTCGGGAACGCTGCGCTTCGGCATGTAAGTCGAGCGGCTTGTTATTTGTTGGTTTGATGGTTTAAGTTATAATGTTTTCATTTTACCCGAATACCTGATTTTAAATGATTAAAAACATGTTTTTTTCTTGCATTCAACAAAAACATATAACATGCACTATTATTAATTTTGTCTTAAATTGTATTATTCATTTTACATTTCAAATTAATAACAGAAACACTAAGGCATTATATTATATATTTAAATACCCACAAAATGAAAACAATACAATTATACAACAACAAATCTTTCTCTTAGTTTATTGGTTAAAAATACACACAGTAAGAGAACATTTAAAAAAGGAAGCAAACTCCAATATATATATATATATATATTCTATTATTAGACATTAAAACATATATGTGTGAGGGAAACTTCTGTGTAGCAATGCAGGAGGAGTCACCGACTCAGGAAGGAGACACGGGGAGAGCTGGAGCTTTGATGTCAAACACTGATGATTTATTTAGGAGCTACGGCCGGAGAATTCCCATCACAAGTCCAAGAGCCAGAGGTTCTGACTTCACGGTAGAGTTGCCACGTCAATTCTGAAGAGCCTCTCTCGATAGACCTTTTATCTAGTTCAGAGAGAGTAATCAACATTCTTGGGGAGATAGACTAAACAGCTGGGAACACTGAATTACTTGCGTCTGACGCTTATGGCCTCGAATATTTCACACCTTGGAGTCCACAAACCCCAAGAAGGAAGTGTTCCAGTGTACCCACAACAATAAACCATTTGTGACCTAGAGTTGCCCGGTCATAGAATGGGAACAACAACATCATGGCTGAAGCAGCCCCTTCCTTAAGGGAGATAACAGACGTCAGGGTTGGTCATAAACGTCGAAGGGCAAAAGGTGGATATCTATGAGAATTATTCTCCAACAATATGTACAATATATCTGTTTAAAAATTAAAGGGCTGTACATTTTTTGCAGAAATGTTCTATTACAAGAACAGTAAATTCATGCATTTACTCTCTAAAGTCAAACAAATATGGTGCCAAAATCTGAGAAGCCTGTTAGATTCACAAAACAGACAAGAAGCACGCTGACATTGAAGTTAAACTAAAATACTGACTAAGGAAGTTCTAAAAACTCCACATTATTAATATTTTATATTTATAAAACAATAATAATACATGCATTTATTTAATATATCACTTTTCTAAGGAATCACAAAAACAACATTTTTTTAAAGCATGTAAACAAACGCATGCAAAAATGAAAATGGATGTATTCTGTGTGTAGATTTGACACAACAGAGGTGCAGATGTGTGTATCAGGATTATAGATGTTCACAGCAGCTGTGGGTCCCTGTCTGTGGAACACCACGGTAACCTCCCGCTGCTCACTGCGTCTCCTTCACCAGCGACCTCTGACCTCCACTCACATGTCGGTTCTGCTTAAAGCTGCAGCCAGTAAAACATGGCTCAGCTGATCTCAAAAATCCTAATATGTTTGCTAATTCTCAATTAGGATAATAATTAGGAAATTAGATTTGACTTTGCATTACCAGGTTAGACAAATGTCCATGTGATTGAGTACAGACTGACAGCAGCCTGTGGAGCACAACTGTGGAGTACAACTGTGGAGTTCCAATACATACATTTTCCTTCCTTTAGTTGGAATGAGGAGAACAAATTCTGAATAATCTACATATTCCTAAACTTAATTTTCTAACTACTGAAAAAAAATTATATAACTGCTGAAAAGTGAAATTAAATATTATATTTTACAGTGAGAGCAGAAGAGCTGCAGTATAATGTGCCTTTCTAGTAACATTTCTGTCCTTTGCCCCAGTCTCTGAAAAGGTAATGGAGAGAAATGATTGTGTGCTGGGCAAGTTACTACAGGCTGTGAATGATGAGGAAAATGTTTGTTACAGCTCTATTGAACTCGTGTATCTAGACAGTCTTGTCTTTCTGTCTATATGCCCCTTTCACACCAACGCGGTTCCAGGGCCGGTTCGGAGCTGGATCTTGAAAAGCACCGTTTTTTCCTGTTAACACCGCAGCGGAGCCGCCTCTAAACTCCGAAATCCGGTTAGTTTCAAGCACCAAAAAGTTGTCCGTCTAGAAAGCAAGCACCGCATACGTCACGCTTACGTCGGATCTGGGCTGTGTCCAAATAACACGCGACATCCACCTTTCCGCCAGCTTCAACATGATCTCTGGAAATAACATTGAGAATGCTATAGCATAGTAATTAATGCTGCAAAGCTGGGTATTTTGAGCGCATGCAGAGGCTTACAACAGCTAGCTCTGACGCCATCGAATAGGACGTATATTTACCTTCTTTCTCCTACGGAATCGTCGTTGAATTTGATGATAATTGTAAAGAACTTTTGAATGTAGCATGTAACGACTGTAAAGTTGGTAGTAAAGTCGTCCCATTTCTTCCATTTCGTTTCGACAGAGCAGAACGAGTAGCGCTTCAATGCAATCGGCCATTGTTGTTGTTGTCGATGTGAGGGGGTTCCTCGCGGTTTGGCTTTATGAAGCAGGCACTCAAACTGTTACGTCATGACGCAAACGATGACGCAATGACGCAGCACCAGTCGGGCTCTGAGCTGAAGAACCGGTTTCCGAACCAGAAAAGCTCTAGCACGGAGCTAGAACGGGAAAAGCCTTGGTGTGAAAGGGGTATAAGTGTGACGTGCTCAGATTTGAGAGGCCCTATAAACTCTTTTTCAGGTTAATATTTGTATTTAGTGTCTCTCCTGTGACATGTCTCCATGCTTTAATGTTCAAAAAGCTCTTTATTTTTCTCATACTGCCTGTGCTGCAGCACCTCTTTTCACCCTCTGTCTGAAACCAGAGCCCAGTCTATTCTGATTGGTTAACTGTCTGGCTCTTGTGATTGGTCAACCGCTTAGAGATGTCCCGCCCCTTAGCCTATCACGTACAAGTTGTTGAAGTGCTAGCCAATAGAAGCATGAGTTGCATAGTGATGTCACTGTAACGGAAGTAAACAAAGGAGTTCAATGGAGGCGTTTCACGCAGGGGGGGGGATTTACCTATATGTCCGTTAGTGCAGCTAGCTAATCAGATGCTAACATCACGGTCCCCGCTAGCAGCGGTCCCTCTCTCTCCCTCTCTCCCTCTCTCCCTCTCTCCCTCTCTCTCCCTTTCTCCCTCTCTCTCCCTCTCTCTCTCACTTGGGGGGGGGGGGGGGGGGAGTGTGTGGGAGAGAAACTCCCTCTGGAGGGAACACAGGGATTCTAGCCTTTGCAGACCATTTACATGCACAAAAACCTGTAGAACACACTACAGGAAAGGGAGAACCCCATCAATTATAATACTTCTCCCACCTCTGCGCACCTGATGTGATAACGTTACTCGTAATTGGGGCAACAGAGCTACGAGTTAAGGAAGTCGAAAATTGTGCATTTCTCCGACTGAATATGACGCCTTTTGGCCGGCTGTTTGGACAGACTACTCTACTCGTGTCAACGTGCTAATGCGAAATCACTAATGGCAAACGAGCGTTGTCCACATCGAGCCTTGTAGAGTATCTCTATACTTTTGAACGCTCCGTCCCCGGCAGATCTCTGTGTCCGCTGCAGCGTGTCTGTTAGGCCCCCCGCACACAGAGACACAGGGGGTGTTTCTCAATCGCGAGTAAAGCTGCTCCAGAGCCACTATTTCAAGCATACTACGTCATCGAGTGCCGCCGAAGTACTGTTCCAATGTCCAGCATACTTGGAAATTTACCGAGCCTGGCGAAAACTAAATATACATTTCGTCAACGTTTTCGTTTTCAAGAATCTATTTTTAGCTCGTCATCGTCTCGTCTTAGTCATGTAAAAAAGGTCGTTGACGAACATTTTTCGTCATAGTTTTCGTTGATGAAATTAATACTGCCCCGCCCTCCCCTGAAAATAATGAGTGACAGGCTGATAGTAACCCGATAGAAACTTTATTATTCACTTAATGACTGATTGAGATATGATGAAGCTAACTTAATCTCCTACAATCATGCGATGTATGTAACAGTAAGACAGAGAATGTAAGTGTGCACCCATGCAGTATTTTTGTTTTGATATACTGTTGTAAATACTCCTGTTGTCTGCTGTGTTCAGACTAAAGTCATGTTAGTGATGCCACATTCAGGACATTCACTGTCCTTTTTTTAACAGAAGACCGTTGCTAGAAGCTGCAGCTAGACTGCAGAAGCATTAGTTTTTAGTTGTTGAGGATGGAACAACTTCACACACAGATATAGGAAGGCTAGACCTATACACTTGGTTTACTTTGGTTTATAATTTAATGTCAAGACATTTATGTTATTTATTTCTGAAGCACTTTCTAAATAATAAAAATGGAGTTCATATTTATCTTACTGCATGTATTGATTGATGAAAAAGAAGCCCTGTGCAGTAATATAGAAAATTGAGGATGCAACGCATTGTTATGAATCGGGATATCGAATCGAAGACAGGATAATCCTAATCGAATAGTGAGACCAGTGAAGATGCACAGCCCTGTTAGCTTAGCATAAAGACTGGAAGTAGGTGGATTGCTGATAGCATTTTACTGAAGAACCCCACAGCGCTCCCTCAGCTCCAGGTTCAGCAGCGTGTTGTGGGAGAGGCAGCAGGAGGGCTGCGTGCTGCTGCTGGTCCTCACTAATCCTCACTGTCCTCTCTGCTTCCTCCTCCCTCTCAGCATTGATGTGACTGAGGTGCAACTCTTCATAATAATCATGTATTTGCTGGCCGCCGTGGGAGGATCTGCTTTCTGGCAGTCACTGGTAATTTATGGGTTTTAATTCCTACAGATTGAGATGATGTTGTAATAATGTAAACATGTTCATTTCTTCTTGCTTTTACATTATTGTGTACTGTCATTTTTATCAGGAAATAATAACTAATTTACCATTCTCTAATACTACTCATGATGCTTTTATTGTGGATGCAAAGGTGTATTTACACACATTTACAAGCTACAGAAATATCTGGACGACTAAAGATTGATCAACACATTATTGGACGTAAATGTCCAATATGTGTTATTGTTACTTCCTTTTTGTGTTTTGATTTCTAGATTCCGATCCTAAATATCCAGATGAAAATGGTTCCCGCCATCTGCACTTTTTTAGGAGCCATCTTCTCCTGCACCAATTACTTCAGAGTTATTTTTACAGGAGGTGTGGGCAAAAACGGATCCACGATAGCAGTAAGTCATTTTAGTTTTTATTATATTTATTTATTCTTTTAACATCCAAATAACAACAAATAAATGATATGCTCTGACAAAAAGAGAACAGACACTATCTGTGTTTGTCTGTCATAAGATTGTTAGATCTTCTCATCCGCATGATTACGAGAATTAACATTAAATCTGTTGTGATCCAAAGTCAAGTATTATTTAATGTTATATCTTTAAGCTTTCTATGTGTGTCTGTATGCGCCACCATGCAGTATTGTTTTGATATTGAGAAATACTGTGTGCTTCTATGTTGCAGTCATTGCTACATAATGGCACAAATACCAGTAGTTCAAAGTTTCTGACTAGAATAGACAGATTTTTATTAGCATCAGTTCATGTTGCAGATCAGATTATTATCGTATTAAAGTGATCTTTGTTTTTGTGTGTCTGCCCTCAGGGAACCAGCGTCCTCTCTCCAGTCTTACATATTGGTTCGGTTATTATTTTGGCGATGATGATATACAAGAAGTCTGCTGTCCAGCTCTTTGAGAAACACCCGTGTCTTTATATCCTGGCGTTTGGCTGCGTCTCGGCCAAAATCACCAATAAATTAGTTGTAAGTCAACTCTACTTTTATTAGGAGCGCGGCCAAATAAAAAGATTTGAATGCTTTGCAGAGATTTTAGTGCCAGAATGAATCTGTTGTGGTGTGATGCCGACTGTTTTTATTTCTGTCTTCAGGTAGCACATATGACAAAAAGTGAGATGCATCTCCACGATTTAGCCTTCCTGGGACCAGGACTACTGTTTCTGGATCAGTATTTCAATAGTTTTATCGACGAGTACCTGGTGCTGTGGATTGCATTGGTAAGTATTTGTTTAAATCTACTCAGCAGTAACATATGTGTATATGTAGTCAGGTTACGTCCTGATTAATCAGTAATGTAAGTAACAATGAGTCATTATTTTCTGTACGTAAGAAAGAAAATAATACATGTCAGGAATAAGAGATTAAAACACTCTTATGTCAAAATTGTGAGATAGTAAGTTACAATTATTAAATTTGAACATGGTAAGTCACAATTATGAGATATATAGGGTCAGTTAAAAGTATGATTGTATACATTAACAATGAGATATTATAAAACTGAAATGCAGTCCAATTTTCGACTTTAACAATGTTAAATATCATTTGACATGAGATAAGTCAAACATTTTCAATTATAAATCAAAAAGTATGATTTTTTTATTTGACACATAAATATTTAAAAGAATCAAATGTTGAGATACTGAGTTCAAATAGAGAAAAGTATGATTTTATGAATTCAAACCATGAGATAGTAAGAGAAAATGATCAAATATTAAGTCAAAAGTATGATTTTCATCATTTGAAACTGAGATATTTATGATAAAATCGAAATTAAGATACTTAGTAAAAATGTATACTGATATGCAAAGTCAAAATTGTGAAATATTAAGTTCAAATAATGATTTTAAGACTCGAAACCATGAGATTTAAATGTACGTTTTTATAAATAAAACCACGAGATAAGAAAACATTATATAATAACTGAAATGTATGATTTTATTTATGATAAAGTCAAAAGTAAGATACTGAGTAAAAATGATGAGACTGAAGCAAAGTCAAAAGTCTGAAATTCTATATTGTGATTATAGTTAAAACGATGAGAAAGTAAGTCAAATAGAACGATGATGAGCTTTTTAGGTAGCGATGAGGTAACTGAGACCCTCCTGTCAGATCAGTGATTCTGTTTCCCTCTCTCTGCAGATCATTTCCTTCTTTGACTTGGTGCGTTACTGTGTCAGTGTTTGCAACCAGATTGCCTGCCATCTTCACATTTTCGTTTTTAAAATCGCGCCTTGCTCAGTGCTCAGCTCCGCTCCTCACTGAGGACACGCCGCCATCACTGACTCTTCCTTCCTGTGAGTCGCGCTCTTCTTTTCTTCCTCTGTTTTCCACGTAGCGATGCAGGGGCTGGCGTGGTGTAAAAGTATGTGCTTCTGCCAACTGAATGTGTGGACAAATAATATATATTAAGATACTGGAGTATTACTGTCTTTGTTTCATCTTCTGCCGCAGTAATAACAATTCTCCTTCTGACAAACTGGTGAGCAGATACTTCAGGAGAGCACAGGTGCTACTCGGTGTGTTCCAGGAGAGAAACTTCATGTGTTTTAACTGTACGTGTGCAAAGACAAAATGTATAGGACATGAATCAAACTTTTCATGATTATAATTTTTGTAATATTTGCATAACTTCACCTTTTTGCTATTGTAAATACATACTGTTACAGTGTCTGCTTTTTCTTTTAAGTTAAAATCCTGCTTTGACACATGTATATACCCTCATGTTTATTATTTTAATACAACTTTATCTCCTGCACATTAACAGAAACTGCGACTGATCAACACAAATGTGGTTTTGGAGGAAACTTAATGTCGATCTTAGAGTATTGTTATTGCAAAGAAATTCTCCAACAATGTTTTTTAATGTAATATGTTCTACTGAAACCCCTCCGTTAGCCGACACATGCAACTTTTTTGGGCTTTTTCCATGTCTGGGTATGGATTTTGTGTATTTATTGTCACATGTAGTGTTATTTGCTAATATATATTCTTTATAAGACTTGGGCCTTCAAATGTACTAAAGACACTCCATGTACAAAATGAAAAAAGGAGAGCCTCAATCAGAATATCAAAAAATAAAAAAATCCAAACTCAAGGTTCATTCAGATGTTAACGTTTGCAGGTAGGCATTTTAAGTTAAAAATGTAAATGATTGCTCAGATTTCTAAAAATATTGTAGTTGTTGGGAACAAAATAAGAGATGTCACACATGTTTCTCCTCCACCAGCCCCCTCTTCTCACCGTCAGTGTTTCTCCTCCACCAGCCCCCTCTTCTCACCGTCAGTGCTTCTCCTCCACCAGCCCCCTCTTCTCACCGTCAGTGTTTCTCCTCCACCAGCCCCCTCTTCTCACCGTCAGTGTTTCTCCTCCACCAGCCCCCTCTTCTCAGTGTTTCTCCTCCACCAGCCCCCTCTTCTCACCGTCAGTGCTTCTCCTCCACCAGCCCCCTCTTCTCACCGTCAGTCTCCTCCACCAGCCCCCTCTTCTCACCGTCAGTGTTTCTCCTCCACCAGCCCCCTCTTCTCACCGTCAGTGCTTCTCCTCCACCAGCCCCCTCTTCTCACCGTCAGTGTTTCTCCTCCACCAGCCCCCTCTTCTCACCGTCAGTGTTTCTCCTCCACCAGCCCCCTCTTCTCACCGTCAGTGTTTCTCCTCCACCAGCCCCCTCTTCTCAACCGTCAGTGTTTCTCCTCCACCAGCCCCCTCTTCTCACCGTCAGTGTTTCTCCTCCACCAGCCCCCTCTTCTCACCGTCAGTGCTTCTCCTCCACCAGCCCCCCTCTTCTCACCGTCAGTGCTTCTCCTCCACCAGCCCCCTCTTCTCACCGTCAGTGTTTCTCCTCCACCAGCCCCCTCTTCTCACCGTCAGTGTTTCTCCTTCACCAGCCCCCTCTTCTCACCGTCAGTGTTTCTCCTCCACCAGCCCCCTCTTCTCACCGTCAGTGTTTCTCCTCCACCAGCCCCCTCTTCTCACCGTCAGTGTTTCTCCTCCACCAGCCCCCTCTTCTCACCGTCAGTGTTTCTCCTCCACCAGCCCCCTCTTCTCACCGTCAGTGTTTCTCCTCCACCAGCCCCCTCTTCTCACCGTCAGTGCTTCTCCTCCACCAGCCCCCTCTTCTCACCGTCAGTGTTTCTCCTCCACCAGCCCCCTCTTCTCACCGTCAGTGCTTCTCCTTCACCAGCCCCCTCTTCTCACCGTCAGTGCTTCTCCTTCACTCGCACCTTCTTTTTATATTTTTCAAATTGTCAACAAATCCTAGGAAAAGACGTGTTAATCCGTCTCTTTACACTGCCTTCCTTACTCTGTCTGTATCACTCAGCCTCAAACTTATTGGATCTTATACTTTATAAAAAAGAAAAAGGTTTTATGCTTAAAAAAAAGAAATGCTGACTTCCAAACAGCTGGTTAACAAGTGTTACTTGTAACAAGTGTTACTGAAACGGGAGGAACGACTCCATTTGTTAGGGACTACTTTCAGTGGCGGATTAATCCCCATCTGGTACTGAGTGTTTGTGGCCAAATGAACTACTGTGTGCGCGTTCATGAAGGAACATGTCAGTGCAACAGTGAGGCGCATTGATGTGTTTTTATTGGTTATACATACACGTGTCTTTGGACCAATTCATTTCTGGTTATTGGCATTTTCACAAACCGAGTTGACAAGAGCAAATGACACTCCTGTATTACCAGGGGGTGCTGCAAACACTTTTGAAAACTTGAAACCCTAAATAACAATTATTCTATTTATCAAATGATCTGCTGATTCGTTGAATGTCGTAAAATATTGTAAAGAAAATGTCCATTTCACTTTTTGATGTTTGTTAATGTCAATGATTCAGTTTAAAGTGATTTGAAACAAATACAATAATAAACTATATATACTATGTTAGAGGTTGAAAACTTAAAATCAGTGACTGTATACTTTTTTTTAAATTAATAACATAATCTGGTTGAGATGTAGTTTCCCCCGAAACCACAAACTGAACCCATGAAGCAGACATGTGTCGGAGATAAAGTCCCATGATGGCATCACAGTTTTGAAGGTGGTGTCTGAAAAGAAACGGATCAAACTTTTGTCCCTGACCGTTAAAATAAAAACCTGTTTTATTTGGACTGTTGTTTAATGGTGCTGCTTCTGAAGAGAGCCTGTAGTGATGTTTCAATATATCTGTGTCCATTATATATTAGTTAATTGCGTTTTGCATAATGTGCCTGTTTTAAGTTATATTTCGTCCTATCTGCAGATGCTGCATTAAGCCTCAACATTTTAGTTTAACCGGTTTCCTTTATGACTTCAGGTTCAGGGTGATTTAATAGTCTTCTGAACAATGTTGACAAACCCTTCTGCGATCTTGTTAAAGAGTCACTTCAAATCACAACCATATTTTTTTCTTAAATGCCTTGCAGTATGTTAAGATGGAATATTAGCAAAATATCAAGAATATTGTAAGATGAATAAAATACAGATGCATATCATTAAAGATAAAGTTGTTTTGTTATAAAGATATATCATTTCTAAAGAAATGAATAGTAATGATACGAATACAGTTGGTCCAAGATACGGCTTTAAAGGTTTTTAAATGAATGCAGTTCAGTCCCAATTGTTTCCACGAAGCTTGGGAGAAGAACACATTTTATCCACGAAAAGAAAAGAAGCTTCACTTAAAGAATAAAACATGCAGATTCTGCGTATAGTTAAAAGCGACCTATTGTGCTTTTAGGATTTGCCAGCCTGCCACTGGACCAGCAGCACATTGTACGTTATAGGGTTAAGGGCTGGACATCTCCAAACAGTTGACCAATCACAACAGAGCTGACCAGCTAACCAATCAGAGCAGACTGGGCTCTGGTTTCAGACAGAGGGTGAAAAGAGTTGCTGCAGCACAGGCAGCATGAGAAAAATAAAGAGCTTTTTGAACATTAAAGCATGGAGACATGTCACAGGAGAGACACTACAAACAAATATGAACATGCATAGTAGTATTATATGTCCTCTCTACAAAAAGTATGTAATTGAATGCTTATTAAGTCCCTAAACAGCCTTGCAATTGCACGAATAGGTATGACTGAAAAGTTAAGATGGAAAATGATATGGCATCATGTTTGTGTCCATTGCAGCCGTTTAGCTGTAGGGAAATCAATTACTGAAACTAGATGTGAGTGTATAAAACGTATGTGACCCCTACGGTAATCACAGCCTCCTGAAACTATACAAAATACAGTGAGGACAAACAGGCTTTTTAAAGTTGTTTGGATAGTTTGAGTCTGTGGTTATTTAATAGTTAAACAATTGTTGGTTCTATTGTTTTGCACACAGCTGTCTAGAAGAGTGTGTTGTGTTTGCCAGACTAACAAGCTCAGGTATGTCCCTAGCAGTGTGCAGAAATACAGTAAACAAGATCATCTGATCATCTCTTAATCTACCAATGCAAATAAATCTCATACTTTCACCTGGAGCAAGGTGTGTGTTTCACTGGAAATGTTCAAACTGAAGCATTCACTTCCTCGTTGCCTCACTTGTTTGCCTTCTAATGAAAACAACATTCAGTTCTGAGCCACAAACGATGGTATGTTCTTTATTGTGTGCGAACAAAATGAAACTTGAAGGAAGAGGGCAACAGTTTGGAAAATACACTTACCTTGTTGGTCAGTCTCCTATTAGTACAATAGCTGTCTTGTATTATCTGTACCATTAACATATTTTTCATTTATCTTATCATGTCTTTATTTTATTAGTAGATTTTCTGTTTTTATCAATAGAGTATTACATTCTCAGACTAACAGCCAATTATGTTATTAACACTTGCATTGTTTTTGTTGGTCTTTTGTTAAAGTTAGTTATCTTTGAATTTGTGACTTTAATAATTACTTTAAATACTTTAAACATTTAATTATTTAAAACCTTTTGTGAAATTAATCGAGGAACTTATATATAGGCTATTATGTTTTTCATTTAATATTTTATAATATATAACGTAATTAATTACATTTGTAAATATATTATATACACTTTTTTCATTTACTTACAATCTCTTTTAATATATCAACTTTGTTTTTCCTTGTCTTGTGCTATGTCATGCCACTTAAGTCTATTTAATTGAATTGACTTGCAGCTTCTCTGTGTATCTGAAATGACTAATATAGTGTATTAAATAATGATGTAGAACCCTTCATATGACCTCCCCCAATCCCCTCCCATGCTGCCGAGTCAAATGAGGCCACAGCCCGCCTTTCAGACAAATCTCGGGACAGCAATCTCACATTAGTCAATTTGCGCATGCGTGGTCTCAAGTCGACTAGTAGCAGGACGAAGAGACAACTTTTAAACTTGATGTATGTTTTAATGGAAGTTTTGTTCAGAGAAGACCCCGTAAATACACCGAGAATTGCGGACGTTTGCCGGAGATCTCAACCTCATAGTCGGGGTTAGAAATAAAGGATTAAAGGACTTTAGTTGAAGGTTTCTGGAGGACTCGGATAACGTGAGTGTCATTAAACAGCCTGTCAATGTGGTTAGTTCACATGATGTTGTTTCCTCAGCCACAGAGCTGTGTCTAACGCCAAACACACGGTTAAAAGGTTGAAATACAACGTTAATATCTTCGGTGAATGCTATGTGGTGAAGCTAACGTTAGCTAGCTTGGTGTTAGCATTAATTTGTTTTGTTATTATATTTATCCGTAATTGTTAACCAATATTATTAGGTTCATGTTTCTGTATTTTCTGTAAACATTAGAGTTCATGTATATTCAGTGTGGGCCGTTTGGTGTACCTTGTCTCGAATACTTAATTGTATAATGTTTTTTTTAAAGCGTGCATGTATTAATGGAGTTTGGTTTGCTGTCCTGGTTTCCTATCAACGACAGCTAGTAAACAGCTCATGTCACCGACATCTTGTCTGACTGTTTTCGGTTTCACTTCCTCAGTGAAAACCAGACTTATTTTTACTAATTACAGAGAAAGGCAAAAGGATCACTTCTCAATAAACACAAAAAGGCTAAAATAGTGTTTACACTCTGAAAGACCCTTTAGACTCCCTTAACCCTTGAAATAAATAATAATAACAAAGAAATTCAAAATATGAACAATGATGCCCCAAAAGTTTTAATGACAGGGCCACAATTTTGTTTACAAATCATAACTTCCAGAGCATAAGTTACATCTTAAAATGTATATTTTCCAACAGTTCAAAACCCCAATATATTTAGTTAATTTAAAAGTGAGAAAAGCAGCGAAATATTAATAATGTAGTTTGAATTACTGTGAATTCAATTATTATTTAATTGATTCAAATGTATCAGAATTGATTATTTACCCAATTATATAATACAGTGGTATGTTTGAGACTCCAGAATTTGTCTTGGATTTATCAATGTACAAATGATAGGTTTTAACCTGGTAGAAACAGAAAGAAAAATCAATATTAGCATTGGCAAGGACGTTGATGGCCAGTTTGTGATGTATATGAATGTGTGTACCTCTATTTGTATGTTGTACACAGGGCAGAGTGAACACACACACACACACACACACACCATGTGGTGGTTCCAGCAGGGTCTGTGCTTCCTGCCTGCGGCGCTGGTCATCTGGACGGCGGCGTCCTTTGTCTTCGCTTACATCACAGCCGTGGTGCTGAAGCATGTGGATCCTCTGTTGCCTTACATCAGGTGTGAGTCCACACACACACACACACACACACACACACACACACACACACACACACACACACACACACACACACTCTCTTTGCTGCACTCAGAACAGGGGGCCTGCACAGTCAGTGTAACTTCCAGCCTCATGGAACTACTTTTAGAGCGATCTGAGCAAAATATGTTTTTGTAGAATCCATAAAGTATAAAAAAACATACGCTATACTCAAGATATTGTCTCACTCCTCTTTCGATTTAGAGACGCTAATAACAAGAGTGCAACCTTTTATGAGGTCATTAGCATGCAGGATAATTCACCTAAACTCCTTAACTCGCTTAATCATTTCCTCGTGTATTTTGCAGAGCTACAGTCAGTCATTATTATTAAATTGTTTGTGTTGCAGCGACACGGGAACGATGGCACCAGAGAGGTGTGTGTTCGGCATCATGCTGGATGTGTCAGCCTTCTTAGGTAACACACACACACACACACACACACACACACACACACACACACACACACACACACACACACACACACACACACACTGTCACATAACCCAATGTCAACACAGTGTTGAGACATTTCTTAAAATGTTCAGACTTTATTGATCACCAGAACAAGGAATTATGTATTTAAATTAATCGTGAGGTTAATTGACAGTCAAATTATTTTAGTTACTTTAAAATGTTTTTAATATAAGTTTTAAATGTATTGTGTCTCAATCTAAATGTTATAATAGGTTAATATCATTATCAATCTCATGATCAATCTATTGTACAGGAGTTAAATATTCTTCATTCTTTTATTCTTTATCTGTTGTATTTGAGAGATTTTAGCAAAACTGTGTCTACGTAAAATAATAATAACAAATAGAAATGTGTGTGTGTTTATATGTGTCTAGGAATGGCGACGGTGTACGTGCGCTACAAGCAGGTGGAGGCTCTGACGTGTGAAGAGGAGCTGAAGCGGGTCAGACTGAACCGCGTCGGGCTGCTGCTCGGTCTCATCAGCTCCTTCGGGATGTGCGTGATCGCCAACTTCCAGGTGAGTGCTGCTGCTCTGGGATCAGTTCCTGCTGTAAAGTGTGTGAAGGCTAGTTCTCCTAAACTGGAACACTTCTCAGTTCCTTCTTTGGAAGGAACTGAGAAGTGTTCCAGTTTAGGAGAACTAGCCTTGGACAGGAACTCAGGTTTAAACTTTGTGGACATCGCTGCCTTGACTGAGCTGAATCTGAGCTTAACATCTCCAAATGTGATTTCCAGACCTACAGTCAGTCATTGTCATTAGTTTCAGGACAAACCATATCAGTAAATCTTTTCCATTTGTTTTGTTGTCTTTCTTGTTTGTAAAACCCAAACGGTGTGTGAGCAGAAGACCACGCTGTTCTCCATGCACCTGGTGGGGGCGGTGCTGACCTTCGGGGTGGGGGCTCTCTACATCCTGGTGCAGACGCTGCTCTCGCTCTACATGCAGCCCCACGTCCACAGCAAGAACATCTACCTGGTCCGTCTGGGGGTGGGCCTCTGGACCCTCGGCAGCATCATCACCAGTATCCTGAACACAGCTGGAAACACACAGCTCAGTTATTCTTACACATCCAGACATATTTATTCATATCATATATATTTTTGATTCTATTCCCTATAACTGGTGTGAACTCTTACCTGTCCTAGCCTGTGTTTCTCTCTTTTTGCTTATGCTGCTCCTAAATGTGCCTACAGTAGATAGAAAGAGCATTTCTCTATGTGTAAAGTTTGTCCGGACTCACTGGTTCTACAATCTGTGTAAACATGCAAATGGCCTCCCAGGTGTCGTTGTCCGTAAAGTGTCTTAATTACAACTTGAACTAAAAAGTTTCCACAATAAGCCAAAAATATCTTCATGCCATTTTTGTTCTGCTATGCATCAGTACCTGGCAAAACAATGAAAAACAAAGTAATATAGTAGTAGTTCTTAGCAGTATTTTATTTTAAATCATAAAAAAAGTCATCCTGCAGTCGGGGACTTTTGATTTGACCTTACACAAGCGTAGGAATTGGGCGACATAAGATTAAATCACACGTAAAAAAAACTCATTTTAACTTCAATTGACATTATCTGGATAGTTGTGAGCGACTCTGAAGGTGTTGAGCTCATTATTATCATATAAAACTAAACAAATGATTTCTTTTTCATATTTGAAACTTTCTCATTTCCTCAACACAATGTACAGTTCTGGTCATGTGAAGCTCAAAACTACAGTTTCTTTAATATTGAAGCTACATTCAAATTAGATTACATAACGTTAGGGATAAAAACCAGGACGTTATGGGAAATGCAGTTCAATTTGTGGTTGAGGCTACTCCCTGACACTTACATAGACAAATACACATCTTTCATGTCCTGTTGTATTCCTTAACATCGTCCTCCTCAGTGTTCGTATCGTCGGTCATCATGTACAGCAGTCTGCCGGGGGTCGACGTCGCTCACAAACTGCACTGGACTCCTGGAGAGACGGTCAGTTCTGCATATTTTTAAGATGGATGAAATCTTAGGTCCGGTGTGGATCTGTTAGAGCTGCTACAAAGTGAAACATTATTTGACATATACAATCATGTTTTTCAAATCATGTTAGAACTTTGTCTAAAATCAAATATACACTTTGGACAGTAACACGGCTCCTATCAGTGTTACATTGATGGTTGTATGTGTATTTTCAGGGTTACACGGCTCACATCATCAGCACCATCTCTGAGTGGTCTCTGGCCTTCTCCTTCATCAGCTTCTTCCTCACCTACATCAGAGACTTTCAGGTACCTTGACCCCCACAGTGGCTCTAATCATCTTCTATCATACGTAGGTCATATTTACTAGAAACAACCAGACATAAATAAATGGTGTATTTGTAGTATAGAGATATGATAGTTCCGAATGCATAAACTATGTAGTAATGGTGCTCTAGGAGGAGACTCAGGTGATAAGGTGGGCGGGGGGTTACATTGGTTGGTTATTAGCTAATGGTTACACGAGCCAAAAAACATTGGGACTTTACTTTCTTTCTCTCTTATTTTCTTTCTTTCTCATTTTCTTTCTTTCTTTTGAAGAAAATCACCCTGCGTGTGGAGGCGGACCTTCAGAGCAGCCACCTGTACGACAGCTGGTCTCAGTCTCCGCATCACAAAGGTGACTCCTCGGAGACGTCTCCTCTGCTGGCCGGAGGGACGTGACCGCAGAGCCTCCCGCTTTACACTGACTTGAACCTTTTTCTAAAGACTTTCTCAAATCTGCTGTTTTGGGTCAGCATAGTTGTATCTCTCCAGTCAAATCGTTTTGATCAAAGCATTTCAACGTAACACACCTGGCTAGTCAAGCCAAACTATCTGACTGGAGAGATGTATACATTCATTTTGTATGTTAGGTGAACTGACCCTTTAGATGCAAATGTGACACTTTGCACTTTGACCTAAAACTGCATCAGTCCCTCTCAGTGACTTTGTCCACTTCAGCGCAGCACTTTATATCATGTATACTTGCTATTCAATTGAAAAAGGCAACCTCTCACCACCTTAATGAGTCCATAAAGCCCACTGAGGGTCATATGGTTTCAACTGTAATGGGAGTTTACAGTCTGTGCATACAGGACCGTTGCATTTTTAAAACTATTTCTAAGGATGCTTTCCATATGCTACCAAATAATACGGTGTATTTTTCACAGTTTTTACTGTAACTCAAATTCAAAAATATATTATAAACACGATCACATTTGATAATTATTTGTATATCAATTACTCACCGGTTCTATGTTTTAACATCATGAATAATGTCATTTTAAAATAACTGATTAGCTTTTAATTTTCAATGTAAAATACTTTTTTTCATATTTTGTTGCTGCTTTAATATTCATACTGTTTTTAAAACGGTAACAACTCTTTTTTTGTTTTCCAGAAAATATTTACATTTAGCTTTTAGCTGAGACCAACAATGGTTTCCATTAACAAAATAACTTTTTGCACTCTGAGGCTGACATTTGGCACGGAGGTTAAGTGTTAGTTCAGTTGTGTGTGTGCGAATGCATGAATGTGTGTGGATACAATTAATATGTTATTTGTTTCTGAATATTTCATTGTTTACTTAAACTAGATAGCATTAATACTTTTAATTAATGCCGCCTGAACAATTCCAATTGACACCTTTGTTTACTTCCGTAATATAGTGGCATCACTATGTAACATTAAAGTATGGAAACATGTCACAGTAGACACAAAATACAAACATAAACCATCTGTCTATATCATATATTGACATATCTACAATATTTAATCAGACACAATCTCCTTACTGCTAACATTGAGTTGCTATTGTGCATTGTTCTGTTGCTACGTTATTCATGTTGAGAGAAATAAAGATGTATTTCTTGTTTCTTGCCCCAATGGTCACATTTGTCTTTGGGATATCATCAATTATTCAGTCTTTAAAAAGAAACGTATTTTCCATCTGAAGCTCTGAGCATGACGTGGTGATGTGAGCGGGCAAAGAGAGCCTGAAAACTCTCTCTCTTCTGTCTTCTCATTGGTGGAGAAGCATTCAGATGCTTCACTCGAGTACAATGACTGACATAATACCACATTGTAAAAATACTACATTTCAAGTAAAATAACTGCATCAGGAAAAGTAATTAAGTAGAATTATGTAGTTAAAGTCTTAGGAGTAAAAGTACTCTTTCCAGATTATTAATTTTTTTCAATATTTTAAAACAAAAGCAACAAATCCTCAGTTACGAAGCTGGAACTGTGAAAGATTTTATAACAAAACTTCTTGGCACAATAGACGCATTTAAGTTACTTAAATCAAATGTAGGATGGTTTAATCTAAAGTAGTAAATACATCTGTAAAATAAATGGAGCGGAGTAAAAGTGCAACGTTTCCAAAATGTAGTAGAGTAGTAGTATAAAGTAGTATAAAACGAAAATACGTGTGTAAAGTACAAGTAACTAAAATGTTTAATTGTACTTAGTTACTTTCCAACACTGATCTTCATATTACATCCCTGTGTTCTCCAACAAACTCGACCACTTTCAAATCACAAAGTCAAGAGAAACCCAACACAGACGGACACAAGTACATGACAAGTTTTATTTTCTCATAAAATGTTGACATTTCTATGCAAAGCGTACATTTAAAAATCTTCCCTCCTTCCTTTGGTTCCAGAGACCCCAACTGGTGACGTTTGGATACTTGTGGCTTTTTGGGTTTCTGGAGCAAAATGAGAGAGACCGATCAACTTTGGCAAAATGATTTTATTCAGACTTTAAGGATAAGGAAACGCTGATCAAGCACGAATCACACCGTTCACTGCTTCATGGGTTTCAGGAAATCTGTTGAACAGGATTTGATGTTAACTGTGAGCACAGGTGATAAAAGTCGAACAATATCCATTCACAACACATTACTATTCAAATATTAATGTTTTAAACATATGTACATACAATCATAACAGCAAAATTAGAGAAGCAGCTTTGTTTGTACATTCAGAATTAAAAATATCTGATCCTTATAAACAACGTGGATAAGAATACATTAAAAAAAAAGGTTTTAGATTAAAGTAAAATCTAGTCGTTAAAGGGTAAATTCACCCAAATCTTAAACACATATTCACTACCTTTTCTCTCCAGATGTTTCTGAGATTTCAGCATTAAAAATGTGTTTTAAAAAAAAATACAAAATCAACTTCTTATTGAGGAACAGTGTCCCCATGAAATACTGGATAATCCAGAAACATTTGATGGAGACAGATTTCTGATGTGGACACTATTTTAACCCAATTAAAACTGTACAACATTTATTCTGGCTTTGATTGACAATTTGCTAGAAATTCAAATCACTATTTAAAAGATTTCATTTTTTAGCAACTTTTTTTATTATGTCATTAAAAAATATCTAAAAAAACTAGCAAAAATTTCAGTTTAATCTCCAAACTTCAAATGAGCTGGAACATGTACTAATCTGCTATTGAAATAAAAATAAAAAGTCCAATTTATGGCTGGCCGAGTTAGCCATTTTAAAAATTAGAATAAATATGAAACTGCTTTTGAAAATCTCTATTTTAATACATTGTTATAGCAACGTCACTTTTTGGCACTAATGTTATAAGTCTATAGAAAACAGAAATGACAAAAAAAAACAGGAAGTTGTCAACAAGAAGCAAATAATAGATCCAAATAAGAGGAAGAGTCACATCTTCCTCTTATTTGTATCTATTATTATTTCTTCTTTACATATAGAACGACGTGGTACTCATTAACAGAATGATCTGACATGTGTTTACTAGAGGACTCGACTTGGGTGAACTGTCCCTTTAACATCAAGGAACGAACCAGGTGAAGAGCTGTGGGTGAGCATCAGAAACACAGCAGGAAGTGAAAGAGTAGACGCTGAAAGTTCCCAGAATGCAATGCAAATGAAGTAAGTGCTCACTGACTGAATGAACTCCACATGCTCCTAAACTTAGTTTGTAATAATTTGATTAAATGCAAAAAGAACATTCACCATGTAATCTGCAGCGTCCCCGATACACACGCTCAATGTAGTCTTTGTTCTTAGATTTGCACTTTGCCTTGATGCCTTTCATATCTATGTTGAAGCACTTTGAATGGCCTTGTTGCTGAAATGTGCTTTACAGATAAACCTGCCTTCAGTCTGCTGTGTTCATGTCAGCTGCTTTCTGTTCAGAGGGGTCCTCATACATCCAGGCCCACCAAGCTGTGGTTTTTAACACAGGAAACGATTCCCTGTGATGCTCAGGTTAATGCCAAGCTCTCATCACTTTTCACCACCTTCTGAAAGAGAGACACCCAATGATTGATGAATTATATGAAGTTCTAAATATATGCTTGAAGCTATCCACATCCAGAACATTGGAGAGTTTAAAACTCCGGAGGACAAAGTCATAAAGTCATTTCTCCATCCTCTGACCTCCTGGAGGAGGATCCCTTTTTCCCAAACTCAAGTCATGTGAGCAGTGTTTCTCTGAGGACGCCGGGAGGATTATGGGACGGACGGGCGTCAGTAAAAAAGGCCGGAGGGAAATAAGGCATCGGTGTGGCGGGGCCACAGAAAGGCCGATCTGCACGATCCTGAACTCTCCACGCTGCTCCTGAACGTCGCTCCTCCTGACGTTAAAACGTTGATCCGTCACAGATGATGTTCTGGCCTCGGCCGGGGAACAGCTCCATCTGCCAGTACCGAGGGTCAGCGTACACTACACAGGGTCAAAGGTCACAGGGAACAACGGTCAGTGATGAGGAGAACAGATCCAGCAGGCCGCGAGGTACAGTCATGGTTTTCTATGACAATACAATATCTTTGTTAACTGTAGAAATAGTTACACTGTTTGCTTAGTTTGCTGCCTGAAAGGACGACGCACAAACAATGATTTAGTGTATGTGAGATTATCTATGCAAGATGTATTCATCTAAATTATATTATAGGGCAGTGACACAATATATATATATATATAAAAATTACAATGAAAGTGTACGCGGTATAAAACGGTGGTACCCATGTCTCCAGGGTTCAGCCACAGGTTGAAGGAGCTGCAGTGTTTCTGGCAGCGCTGGACAGGCAGGACTCGCACTGTGGGAAGACCCTCCCCCACCACCAGCCAGCCAAACACTCCCACCCCCTGAAACACAGAGCAGAGGCTGAGGGGTTATTTACGGTGAGTGATGGACGGATGCACTTTCAACTGCATTTTCACCCTTAGATAATTCAGACAGAAATGTATTATATCATGGAAAGGGCAAATGATGTCACAAGCCGCTGTCATGGAGACAAAAACATTGGGACATTCAGACTTGATCAGAAGAAAAGGGGTTTTTTCTTTGCAAAATTCTATACTTTTATAATCAGTGTATAGCACCTTCCATAAAAGGATTGCTGCATAATGTGCATTACGAATAGGGGAAAACAGAATGGATGTAAAAACAGGGTAATAGTGCCATTATTATTTAGAAAAGAAATCCACACTTGAATGGCGTACTCATGCCTATGGGAGCAGTTTGGGGTGAAGTACCTCGCCCGAGGACACCTGTCCTGGACATGTTGACGGTCCAGGTGTAAAGATGTGTGTGTGTGGACTGACCTTGCTCTGGGAGTTGGTGCTGTGTGTGACCAGGCAGCGCTGCACGATGGTCCCGGCACTGTCCAGCAGGGGGCAGAGCTCCGCCTTGGGGAAGAGCCACCTCAGCACCTTCTCCCTGGTCCCCGAGCTGAACCTCCTGCACACAAAACACCAGAAACAATCATAAAAACCCTCGCCCAAAATGTGCGGCATATCATTTCATAATACATTACATTCCATTTCTTTTAGTTTACGCTTTTATCCAAAGCAGCTTTCAATAAGTGCAAAAAAAACCTTCAGTAAAGATATCAATTCAGAATCCTGCAAGTACATTTGCTCCATAAAAGCCTTATAGTCTAGTTGCCAGCTCATAGAGTCCTGTTGGGAACCCTGAAATGTTGAGTACACCAAAGTGTTATGTTAGAAATGTATAGTAGGGGTCCCCAACACCTAGAAACTTCCGAATCCTAACTTGTATATGTTGGGCAACTTGCACAATTAGCATTGCATTAATAAGCATGAATTACCATTATAGCCTGTGGAGAAACTAGTGATATAATGGCTTGGCCAATGGGGACCATTTTGAGAGGTTTTGGGGATTATTGAGGATGCTGAGTCCATTTCTGACATTCAAAAATAGGGTCATATTAGTACTCCTGGTGGGCTGATTTTCATATATTTTGGGTCGATTTTGAAGATTTAGGGGACTCTGGATCCTCTGGATTGGATAAATTGTCAATTTATTTGAAGAAAAGCTGTCTACAGTAGAGATAATCATTTTCATCTTGTGCTCTCAATATCCAATGGTCGCAACACTACTCAGCAGAGTCAAAATCAGCCCACCTTCTGATTAAAACTGCAATTTCTGATACTGAAAATGTCAGAAATGCATTCAGCATCCTCAATTACCACCAGAATTGGCCAAGCCATTTTTTAACTATTGTTTACGTGGGCGATAATGCAATTCATTTCATTTAACGCAATTTATGCTAACTGTGCAAATTGCCCAACATATGCAAGTTAGCATCCGTTTGTGCTGGGGACCCGTACTATACATTTCTTACATAAAACTTTGACGTTCCAGGTTAACTATGCTGGAAACTAGACTATAAATCTAAGTCTACATTCAAAACCAATGAGTACCAGAGCAGAGTGAAGTTGGCGGGCCCCTGGGGGAGGCCCTGGTTGTGGCTGTGCAGACCGTCGTCCTCCTCCAGCAGGATGGACATGGAGTTGGAGTGAGCCAGGTAGAGCTCCTCCAGCTGCTGCCGCTGCACGCTGAGGGACTCCCCGCCCTGCA